CCTGGGCTACAAAGTGAGCTCAAGGCCAGCCTGAACTGCATAGTGAGATCTGTCTCAAAAAGACAAAAAAAAAAAAGAGAGAGAGAGAGAATGAAGACTTTAGACTCAGAACACCTGGGTTGAACTCCTGCTCAGCCACGCACATAGCCTGTGACATTCACCATCCAGGAATCCAGCCAGAGCCTTGCTACTCCCATCTGTAAAAGCGGGCCGAGGGCGTCTGCCTGGCTCAGCTGCTAGGGGGCTCAGACAGAGGCGATGCAAGCATGACATCCAGTGTTCTGCCTGTCACACAGACCCCTGTCCTCAAAATGTTTCCCCTACTTCAGGGGAAAGAAAACTGCGAGTAGATGCTGTGAAGTGACCTGCTGTTAGCTGGGCAGCCATCAGTCTGGGAACCAGGGAAGAATTCCAGCTATGCGGCTCCAGAGTCCAGGCTCACAACTTCCACGCCTTGCACTCTGGACCCTGGTCTGGCTGTCTCTGAGACTGTTTCTGGAAATACCTCCAAGCAGAACAGGTTCGAAGAGACTGCATGCTCAGGTATGATCTAGAAAGAACTTCCAGGCAGCCTAAGATGCTTCTCTAGGGAGCGCAGGGTCTTCTCCTCAACCAGCCATGGTACCCTCAAATGCACTGAGCATTTCCCAGCCAATCTCACCATGCCTCACTTCCTTCCTCTTACCTTGTACCCCCAAAAGACACAGATGACCACTGAAGCCCTTCTCAGATTCATCTGATGGCTTGCTAGGCCCATGGGGAAACAGAACCCTTGCATCCAAGCTCCAAAGAACCCAGGGACATTGTAGCTAGGAGCCTGCAGCCAGAGACGCTGTCCTGGAGCCTCACAGATTCTTGGGGGACCCAGCTGTGAGAAAGTACCCTGCACAAGCTGGAGTCACGGAGGTCTGAGGTCTTCCAGACTGCCTCAAAGCTTCCAGTATTTACAAAATCACACATAAAACCAAGGTCTCTGGAAAAAATCATGGCATGACAGTCGGCTCCATGAAGTCCCAATCAGCAGACTCCGTTCATTCACCTGAGGCTGTTCTGGGCAATAGCTAAAAGTAACCCGCCCGGTCCTGCCACTTCCCATCTAGGTGACCCTGAGCACATTACTGGACTTCTCACTGCCTCAAGTTCCTTCCTCAGACGCGGGGGGGTAATGATGGCAACCTTCCAATTGTTGTGAAGTTCAGTGTTCACACAGGTAAATTACTCAGAACAGCACTGGGAAAACAGCAATCCCTAAAAGAATATAGCTGTCCTTGTTTTTACTGAAACCAGAGATAAAAATCTGAAGTCCCCGTTCAGCCCTCCATCCTGGGGATTACCATCTGCTGGGAAAAAAGGGACTCGCCCACAACTACCCATCGGACAAGGACCAAACACGGCAGTGAGAAGGAGCGGCCTGAGGCGGGGGAGGGATCCTGCAGGCTCCCTAGAGGAGGCTTCTGGGCTTGGCAGAGAGAGGTGAGAACAGTCAGTGCCAAGCAGGTACAGGTTCAGATCAAAAGGCAAGATGGGCCCTTTAGGGCTGCTGGAACTGCGGATGGTCACCCCGACTGTCTGTGCGCCCACCTTGCAGCCAGCCCCTCTGCCACCCCAAAGGCTGCAGAGCATAGGAGGGGGGACGGCGAGACCCAAGGGGACCCGACTGTTACACCTCTGGGTGTCCAGGGGTCCATCCTCCTCAGCTCTGCTCCAGCCTTGCGGCAGCACACGGAAAACACCAGGCACCAGGACGCAGGCAGAGGAGAGGGCAGAGCGAAGCCTTGAGACGGGGCCACTACCCGGGTACAGTCTAGACTTCCGAGCTCCTTTGGGGATACTGCGTTTTGTCCCAGCTTTCCAGTCCTCCACCTCCTCACACAGGCTCAACTCCCCAGAGGCTTTTCTCTCCCGACACCGGCTGCCCAGCCTCCCCAGCAACTATGTGGCGGCCTCAGATTCCTCATAGGTAAAGAGAAACTACAGTCTTCCTCCCCAGCGTGGTTCCCTTTTGTTGTTGGTTTTTTTAAGCTGGTAATCCAACAACAGATAAGAGGACCTGTCACCAAAGTTTTGCGGTGGAAAACCTAGAGACAGGAGTCCAACTCCCGACGTGGACAGTAAGTCCCAGGAAACAAAGTGAACTATCCGAGACCAAGGCGCCACCCAGAGCAAGCCAGAACTGAAGTCCCGGCTCCTCGAGGCCGGAGATGGCCCACCGTAGACGGCCTAGGCCGGCCGGCCTGGGGCCAGGGCCCAGCTGCTGCCTCTGCCCTCCAGTCTTGTGCAGGTCTGCTGCCTGGGACAGGGACGGCGGGGTCCGGTTCACCCCACAAACCGCCCCAGGGAGGGCAGCTGCCACATCCACCCGCTGGGAAGCGGCCCGGAGGCGCGCGCAGCAGCCCGGACGCCGCCGCCTGGGCCA